CACCTACTATGTATTTTTCCACCTCGTGTATCAGTGTTATAACAGTGGTAACGGATACACTTTGCGTACTATTCTCTCTCTCTCTCTTTCTCTCTCTCTCTCTCTCTCTCTTTATCTCTCTCTCTCTCTCTCTTTCTCTCTTTTCCACCCACCCTTTCTCTTTGACTCGATCTTTCTTTCTTTCCTTCTTTCTCCCTTCCTTTATTCTTTTCTTTTTTCTTTTTTTCATTTTTTTTTTATAGTTCTTCTGGATTAGTCAAAGGTGACCTTCTTATTATACAATTCACACAAAGCATTAACACCGTGAGACTTTTCTTTTCCTGCTGTCTGAAACTTATCCCGACGTATAAAGAAAGAAAGAAAAAAAAAAAAAAAAAAAAACAAAATAAAGGAAAAAAAAAAATAGAACAAGAAAAGAAGAGAAGAAAAAAGAAAAAGAAATAGATTCTCTTCGTCAATCCTCGATAAATCTTCTTTTTCTCTCTTTTATTCTCTTTCTTCTTGTTTATTCACGGTTAAAGAACGAAATAGAATGTATATATATATATATATATATTTCTTTAGGATTTTGTAAAAAACGAAAGAGAAAGAAAAAAAAAGAAGTAAAAAGAAAACGATTCGTCGAATTTTACAAAAGTTATTCACGAATTAATTGAATTTTCGTCGTTACACCTTAGGAAAAAATATTTCCATGTCGAGAGATATTAAAAGATAAGTAGTATCTAAATATCTATGCAGATGTATATTTAAGACCGAAAGAAAATAATATCTTCCATCGCAACATTTTCAAAAGCAATTCTCGGGAATGGAACTAACCTCTTCCCACATTCCGCAACGCCGTCACCCCTCTCCCCCCCTCCGCCACCAATCTAAGCCCACTCCCCTATTCCAATCCACCCTATCTCACCCAACCATCATTCGAATGATTATTATCGAGACTCAATTAATAACTTTTGAACGAAAGTCGAAGATTGTCGTAGTTATATAGCATCGTGCCGATTCGAACTGTACGAACAAGACTGAAATGGTGTCGTCAGTGAAAGAGAGAGAGAGAGAGAGAGAGAGAGAGAGAGAGAGAGAGAGAGAGAGAGACGGGGAAGAGTATGGAAGAGGGTGCAATAGTGGTGGCAATGCAAAAGTACGGGAAGTTTGTGTCTGGCGTGAAAAATCCAAAATGAAGGAAGAATTCGAAGTGAATTTAATCTCTACGGTACCAAAGAATTCCAAGTTTATTTCGTACGAATCTCTCTATTCGACTTCGGCGAACTCGTCCGACTCAACATTGGGTAACTCCACTTGGAATAAGAGACAGGCTGCATCGGCCTGCATTTATAGCTCGTGGTCGGCCGATGACAGCTCTTTCTCTCACTCTCTCTCACTCTCTCACTCTCTTTCTCTCTCTCATCTCACTCTTTTCTCAATCTTGACGAGAAAGAAAATGAGAGAAAGAGAGACAGAGAGAGAGAGAGAGAGAGAGAGAGAGAGAGAGAGAGAGAGAGATAGGAAGAGTTTCTCCCGCATCGAGATAGTTCGTGATTTAAAATGCTCTCCGAAGTCCACGAAGTCAGCTTCTTCTCTTTTCTTCTTTACAGTCGATGAAACTGAACAACGACACCCCATCAGCCCACTCGTTTCCCACAGCCCCTTCGACTCTTTCCTTTCTAACCCCCTTCTCCCCTCGCCCCACCCTCTTCCCTTCCGCTTTACCGTCCTCCTTACCATCCACTTCCTTCTCTCTCTCTCTCTCTCTCTCTCTCTCTCTCTTTCTCTCTCTGTTTCTGTCTTTCTCATTTCTCCTTCATTCTCTTTCCTCTTCTTCTTTTCTCTTTCGTCTCCGCTTTCTCACGGAATTACAGTGGAAACTCTAAGAAACTTCTGCGCCGTGCAACGTCGCGACACTGATCGATCGGCCTCCCTTACGTAATATGATGAAACCGAACGGGAATCGGCGGATAATTAATTTTAAACTCGACTCGAGACTCAACGTAAGAACAAACAAGGATATTAAAGCGGGCGCAAGGTAACGACGAGAAGGGGACGGGGGATGGAGGGAGAAAGATAAAGAGAGAGAGAGGAAGGGATGAAAGGAGGGAGATAGGGAACTATCAGTAATTTACTCTAGATAAAACGGAAGGAGAGAAAGAGAAGAAAAAAGAGAGGGAGAGAGAGAGATAGAATCGTGTTTATTTTATTTCTATTTACTATTTCCTATTGTTCGTATAAAAATATTGTAATCTTATATTGCATCCGTACCGACATATCGAAAAATTTTATCGTAGATATCGATTTTTATCTGTTAGTTTGTTTCTTCCTTTTTTCTTCCCCCATTTTTTTTTCTTCGATTTTTCATTCTTTTCCTTGACAAATGTAGATGGCGTGTTTTAAAAATATTATTAAAAATATAAATAAATATAATCGAGAAATAAAAGCAAATGAAAAATAATAAAAATCATATATTTCTTCTATTGGCGCAGGGGGAACTTTTTATTATTTTTTTTTTCTTTTTAAGAAAAGAAAAATACATAAATAAAAAAAAAGAAGAAGAAGAAGAAGAAGTTGATAAAAAATAAAAACAACTCGGTTATCTGCAATACTCCATAAAAGCTGTGATGTGAAAAAAAGGAAAAAAAAATTTTTTTGCGAAAAAGATTGAATAACAAACGTTTACGTTCAAAAGTTTTAATTGCTTTTAAAAGTGCATACGTTTGATATAGTCAACCTCGCACAATGTGAAAGGTATATGTTTCAACTTTTAATCCTCTAAAATAAAACTTGAATGGAAAGTACATATGATAAAAAGGGACAGAGATACGTATGTACACGCGAAAGTTACTTGAAAATGTTCGTATTTTATTGCATATACGCACGCGCGCGCACACACACACACACATATACAATATATATATATATATATATTTGTTTTTTTAATATCAATCTAATACTACATGCCAGAAGCTATGAATACATGCACGTTCAAATGAACAAACATATAGAAACTTTCTACGGCCTCGTCCCTTTCCAATTCATCATTCACCCCCTCCCCCATTTACTTTCTATCAGCGGATTTACTACAATCTAATCTTTACTCATCATCCCAGTAGAAAATTTTCATTCCCACTAATTTCGCGATCACATAACAGGGTGACACGTCGCGGCGCGGCGCGACATCGAACGTGCATTAACGGCATACTGAAATTGGTTTCCAGCTGTCACAGCGCTGATTTTGGCGATAGAAACGTGCGAACACACGGGGCCCCCCCTAGAGAGGGCCCCCGACCCGAAGAGGCCGCCGTAAGGCGGTCAAACGCTCTCAGGTAAGAATTCACCCTTTTATTATTATTTTTATTATTATTATTATTATTATTATTATTATTATTATTATTATTATTGTTATTGTTATTGTTATTGTTATTGTTACAACATCTTTCATTTTCATTTAAAAATTATTTAATTAATCATATATATTCGGTAAATGAAATAATATCGCTAATCGACACGTCTAATCTAAAGCAATTTGATGAATATAATGTTAAATTATTTTATTAAAATTCAAACACGTCATATTTTATTTTTGAAATGATAAAAAGAGTGAAAATTCGTTTTACGTTATCGGAAAAAGATATTTTTAATTATATATATATATATATATACTTTTTTTTTTAAATGAATATACATAAGAAGAATTAATTAATGAACCGATAATATTCAATATGCGCGGTTGTATAATGTGTTTCCGTATATTTTAATCATTATTTTATTATAATATCATTTTATATATCGTATAAGAGTGCTACTGGAAAAATGCATTACCCTAGAAAAGTTTCATGAGAGAAGGGGTGGGGAAGGGATACGTTCGAACGCTTATAAAAAAATTCATTTCTGTATGGGTATTAAAAGAGAAAAGAAACAACGAACCGATTACCATCGAATCATGGATTTACACCGTTAAACCCAATTTCCATAGGGCGATTGCCGCATACTTTGAAAAGAAAAGAAAAGAAAAGAAAAGAAAAGAAAAGAAAAGAAACAGAAATAATAAAGAAAAAAAAAAGAGAGGAAAGAGAAGAGAAGAAAAGAAAAGAAAGGAAAGAGAGAAAAAGGAAAGAAAAAGAAAGTCACGATTAACATGTAATTTCATTGGACAGATTAAAATGAAAAAAAAAAAAAAGAAAAAAGGAAGAAAAAAAAAAAAGAAAAATAAACAGAATCTACTCGTGGTATTAACGCGACTATTACGCGTCTATCTTAGAGATATTAAAAGATAAAGAAAAATCAAATTAAGAAAAAAGAATAAGAAAAAGGAAAGAAAAAAAGAGGAAAGAAAAACAATATGTATCGTGAATATAACGCTATGAAACTAGAGCGATCCTTTGTTCTTGGTAGCTCTTGGTTTGCTATTTTATGATATTATGATATCGCAGTAATATCGTGTTACTTGTTAAACTCTCTCGGATATTACGATAGGATATCTCCAGAAATTACTTAAAATCCGTAATGTCAGACCGAAATCGTGATCGTATCGTTTCTCAGAGCTAACCCAAAAGCTATACCACAGTTTCTTCTATATTGACATATAAACCATTCGAATATTATAAATTTATATAGATTTGTTACGAATAAAGCATAGAATTGACAAATATTTTGGATATTTATAAAATCGCTCATTCCTATTATTAATATCTTTTCAGAATTTGTTTGCTTTTTGTTTGTTTTTTTTTTCCCTTTTTTGTTAGAAAAGATAATGGTAATTGAGTGATCGTAATTAGAAAAAGAAAAAAAAAATTAAACAAAATTTATAATTTTATTTCGTAACATAAGTAACAAATATTTTCTACCAAAAAAAAAATATATATATATATAAGTTGAGAAAATTTTTCAATGTAATATACGATACAACTTTGGCATCTCTGTCAGCCGTCATTCATCATTTAATGACTTTCAAAAAATTATTTTCTACCCGTCTGTATACGCCGTTCATGCCGCCGAAAGACCAGAGGGGATCATATTGGTGATAATAAATGTGTCATATTTCGGCAAATCATAATTAATGAGAGAGAAAGAAAGAGAGAAAGAGAGAAAGAGAGAAAGAGAGAAAGAAAAAGAGAAAGAACGTGCTAGGAAGAAAAAAGAAAAGATATATATATATATGTTCTTATATTATATATAACCCGAGGGGAGAAAAAGAGAGACAGAGACAGAGAGAGAGAGAGAGAGAGAGAGAGAGAGAGAGAGAGAGAGAGAGAGAGAAAGAGAGAGAGAAGTCCAGATTAATTAATCTTCATCGAACTGGGTTGTCGCAGAATTCACGGCTTATATCACTCAGAAAATAAAAAGATAATTCGTTTCTTGATTATCCTTCGTGAGATATTATCTAGAAAACGTTAGTCTTTCCTCTTACAAAGATTTACAATGATACATCATATCGATGAGAAACTATGAGATAATAATAATAATAACATAAAATATTCATGATTACGAAAGGGACTTGATAAAGAGAATATTTTTCAAAATGATCGTATTAATTTACGATAAACGAATGAATAATAATTTTTGAAAGCACGAAACTTGAGATTAAATTGAAAATAGCTTTTCGATATCAGTATCGTATATACATATACAATGAACATAAGATAAAACATAAAGATAAACGTGAGATACAAATTTTTATGGTGGCGTACTTAGATATTTTTTTTTCTTTTCTTATCTTTTCTTTTTTTTTCTTTTTTTTTTCTTTTTTTTTTTTTTGTACATACCAGAAAAATTTGAGAAATTCATAGCTATCTTCTTCCTCGTTCCTTTTTTCCCTTTAAAAATGAAGTTTATGTATTTAAAAAAAAAAAAAAAAAAGAAAGAAAGGAAAAAAAGGAAAAGAGGGAAAGAGAGAGAGAGAGAGAGAGAGAGAGAGAAAATATATAAAATACGTAAAAAAAAAAAAAATACAGAAAAATTGTCCTAACTTATTTTCCAAATATAATATAAAACGATAAAAAATATTCGCGGCAATGGGTTTCCCGCTCGCGAAAAATGGAACAAATTTCACAGATTTCGAATAAATGCGTAATGAAAATCGTACATATGTACATTACGAAGGTAAACTACCAGGCTCGTAATTCGAGAGCATCGATATCTCGAAGAGGAATTCGATTATAACGTTAAAGCGAATGCTAGCTGATAAGAAAGATGCTTGTTCAAACCAAACGAAAATACCAAACGAACTTGGCGTTCTTTTGAGAGCTCCACAAATTGCTTCGCTCTACAAACCAGTTGAAATATTTGCCAGCTGTTTCAAAATGATTTGTCCCGTTAACGCGTCCCGTTAACGCATATTTTTATTATTTCTTTTTTTTTCTTTTTTTTCGTCCTTTTTTTTTTCTTTTGGTCGTTTAACAAATAATATATGAAATGTTATTGCAACGAACTTAAATATTATTAAAAGATCTCTGAACTTTGCAATTAAATTTCGATTATTATATATTGAAAATACAAAGATATACTATATATATATATATATATATATATATATATATATATATATATATTTTTTTATTTAATGCAAATTTTTTTCTATAAGACAAATGAAATTCATCGATAAACTCGATAATAACTCGAAATAAATAATTAATTTTATTGACTTTAAATTAATATTAAAAATCAATTAATTCGAAATTTTTTCGAAACAAAAATTAATTCGAAACAAAATCGAATTATTTCTTTCTCTTCTTCAAATTTTAAATTCGAACATATCTAAGTATTTTTGATCGATTTAAAAACATTTCGCTCACCCCGTATAACAATTTATTTATACACTTCGAATACGTTCAATTTCAACTTCGATTTCGCTCAGTTATTTTATTATTTATGGAATACCTTTTTTTTTGTACATTATATATATATATATATTTTTGTCAACGAAGTCATTCGTAATTTCAATACCAATAAAACCAATGTATCAAAGAAAAATCATAACTCATGATATGAAAACCACGGTTTTGTCACATTTCTTTTCTTTTAATTTTCTTTTTCTTTTTACTTTCCTTTTTTCTGTTTTCTTTTTTTTTCCGAATGGCCGAAATTGGCTAGATATTCTTTGTCTCTTTCTCTCGCTCTCTCTCTCTCTCTCTCTCTCTCTCTCTCTCTCTCTTTTGCTCCGATCAACCAAGATACATAAGAATCACTGGTCGATACATTAATGCCAAACTCACGAGAATGCAAGCAATATATTTTGTTATCGATAATTGAATCGCCGAGTGCGGTCGACTTTCGTCGTTCTTTACCCTCCTGCTCCTTATTCTATCACTATTTGTACTATTACCACGATCGAGAATGATGCTAAAATTACGAACTTTCCTAAGCAATAAACAAAACAAAATAAAGAAGAAGAGAAGAAATACTAGAAGAGAAAAGAAAAGAAAAGAAAAGAAAAGGAAAGAAAAGGAAAGAAAAGGAAAGAAAAGGAAAAAAGGAAAAAGGATATTATTCTTACGAGAAAATGAATTAAATATTATCAAATATATAATAATGGGAATGATACAATATATTTATTATTATTTGACGAATTTTACGAAATAAAATTTATCTATATTTTTATCTTTAAAATTCTTATTATTAATCTTTATTATGTTATTATTGGGAATGAAATTTTCTCTTTCTCTCTCTCTCTCTCTCTCTCTCTCTCTCTCTCACTCTCTCGCTTTTTTCCTTTCTCTCCCTCTTTTTATAGAGATTATAAAATTTATCTATAATATTTTATTTCATTGATTTACCTGATCATTATAACAAGTATCCTCTTTCACATTGGCTTTGAATCATTAAATCGTGGCATACCACTGAATCTAAATGAATTTAACTATACGAGTAGTTTTATTTTCGAGCTCCTTCCACATCCTATTTTCATATTTTTCTTCTTTTCAATCCTTCAAATTACCCTAACGACATTCTCATCGCAATACAGATATATTTTACATAGATATTTCGTATAAAATTAATTCTATTTATATTTTTTTTTTCAATGATTAAAGAAAGGGAGAGAGAGAGAGAGAGAAAGAGAGAGAGAGAGAAAGCAACGTAACTATACTAAAAATTACAAGTATAATTCCACGCAAGAAATTTCATCCAAGTAATGCACTTACACGGAATTGATAATAAAACAACCACCGCATAGTTGAATGCACAGGGTGGACTAAAAATAGAAAAAAAAAAACAAAAAAAGAAAAAAAAAAAGATCTACCCAAGATATTTCAATGATCGATCATCATACATTCTCGAGAGTCTTTCTTAGAGTTTATTGTTTTTTGTTTATTTATTTCTCTCTCTT